GAGTTCGATCCCTGGTACCAAAAACAAATAAACAAAAAAGCTCTAATAGAAAATAAAAATACAAAAGGGTCTGGGGATTTAGCTCAGTTGTACTGTGATTGCCTTGCAAGCACAAAGTCCTGAGTTTGATCCCCATTACAGGGGAAGGTGGGGAGGGAAGGTCTGGACAGCATGGAAAACCCTAGGTTCGAGTCCCAGCACCACAAAATAAAGTAAAAAGGGTTAGGCATGTAGCTCAGTGGTAGGTCTTCCCTGGGTTTAATCTTGGCACCAAAAAAAAAAAAAAAAAAAAATCATTTCTTACTTCTCTACCCATGAAATTACACCTACCTGCTGGGGAGGCCTCCCTGACCCTGTCCTGGGCTGTTTCCCCAGCAGGCCCAAGAGCTCCATGACAGTTGGAGCCCTCACCTGACAGCTCCCTTAGTAGATCCCACTACAGAATTAGACACCTGTAGGATGAAAGCAGAGGGTTTGGAAGTTTGACCCCATGGCCCTTCTGTATCCCCTGGGGCCTCGTGACGGTTAGTCAGCCACCCTTCAATCTGCCTCCAAGCCAAGCACCTGTCACCTTGCACCTCAGGGGACCCTCATGTCCTACAGGCTCACACCATCTTACAGAAGCACAAGTCATTCAGGGCTGGGGCAGTGAGCCGTCTTTTCCCAAACAGCCCTGTTACTGGAGGAGGCAGGGAAGAAAAAGCACACCAGCCCCATGTTTTGAAGAGTGCCCCGTGCCTGGCACATTCCCAGGGCCATCCTAGGCGACTCGAGACTCTGACTCAAGAGGGAGAGGGGTGTCTTTAAGGGCTCAGACTTGGCCAGGACCTGAATGGCCAGTTGGCCCCAGGAAGAACTCCTCTGCAGTCAAAAGAGGCCTCCACCTCTTGTTGGGTGCCACTCCCAAACTGCTGCTCACTGTATGGTGGGCAATCCCATCACCAAACGTACAGCAGCTCACGTACATGTGTCCCCAGGGCAAGGGGAAGCTCTAAGCACTTGGTAGCAGTGAGCCTGCTTTGGTCCCCTAACGACCCTGTGTGCTATCCCTATTTTACACAACTGAGGCACAGGGAGGCTAGGGCTTGGCCAAGGTCAAGAACAGAAGCCAGGATTGCAGGTGGTACCATTACAGCCTCCCAAGACCTGGGAAACAGGGAGCCAGGCAAGGTACCCACCCCCACTCCCCCACCCCAGTCCTGGGCTCAGCCACAGTCCCACAGTAAATTGAGCCCACTTGTCAGGCCTCAGTTTCCACTTCTGGAGAAAGGGGACTGCACCAGCCCCACCCATTGTGGGCTCTGCTTACAAAGGATAGCAGCTGATCTAGCGACAGAGTGGACAGGAGGCTGTCAAAGCTGGTATGCATGATCCTCCAACCCAGTGTGCTGATACACTGCTCCAGCCCCTCTAGGGGATTCCAAGCCCAGTCCTTCAGCTAAGGTTCCCCATTGTTGTGAGGAGGGGGAAGTCCGTGGGTACTGTGCCTAGGGCTTTGTTGGCCCCTCCCCAGGGTCTGGCCCCTAGCTCTCCAGCCCCAAGCCTGGTCAGCAACCCCCACCCCCACTCCCAGGGCCCTCTCCCTGTTCCCACTTCCTTATTTGGGTTTATCACACTGGAAGGAAAAGGGGAAACTTTTCCCTTCAGACTGGCCTTGGAGGAAGGGGTCTCCTAGGTCTGGGAGGGCGCCAAGGTACCCCTCACCCGCACACCTGCCGCCCAGGACACGCCCCCAGCCCCTCCCCCCAGCTCCCACGCCTTCCAGCCCCACCCAGCCGGAAAGGAGCCCAGAGTCTTCCAGGCCTGTGGCCTGACCCCGGGAGGAACAGCAAGGAAGCTCTGGCCGCCGGCCGGGTGGAGGCCCCGGGGAAGGAGGGGCCCTAGGGAGAGAGGAGGGGGCAATGTGAAAACTTGGGTGGAGCGCAGGACCAAGATGGGGTGCCGCAGGTGGGGGCCTGAGCATCTGGGAAGTAAAGGGGAGGCCGGGATTTATTGGGGTTCAAAGTCCCAAGGCTAAGGAGTGGGGAGCAAAGTTTCCAAGGGTAGAGGAACTTGGGGGGTACTTTCCACTGGCGGTGGTGACTTGGTGCTCCCACCTGACCCGGGAGCTGGGCTGGGAACCAGAAACAGGGCGAAAACCAAGAGAAGGTGAAGAAGTGATGAATGGAGAAGCTCGCTCAGGGCCCGGCAACGGCGACAGCAGGGTCGAAGTGGCACCCACCCAGGACGAGGGACCCCTGAGCCCACCAGGGCGTCCAGCACCGCAGGATCTGGGGACCAGGCCAGGGTCTCGGACCTAGAATTAGTCTGGCAGGGAGGGGTGCAAAGAACAAGTGGGGAGCGGTATATACTGGGGCTCAAAGTATCTGTGCCAAGGAGGGGAGATCGCCAATTTCACCGAGTTGAGGAACTGGGGTCTTCTTGACCAGGACGACTGGGGACTCAAGTTTCCGGAGTGCAGCCGGGCTGGGATGAGGGCGCCGTAGCCAGGCGAGGCTGGCGTAGGGGTCCCCAGCATCGGACAGAGCGCGCGCTGGGAGTCCCCGGATCTGGGGGCCGCGGGGGGCCGCCACATTTACCTCGTCCCATTTGATGAACTTACT